CTGTCGCAGTCCGGGGGACCAGAAAAAAAGAGTAATTATCAAATAGGAAACGTCAATAAACAATCAAAGATAAACATTTCAACGCAAAAAAAAAATTGTTAGTGTAAGTATTAAAAACAGTACCCTAAGGTGGACGAATATGTATATTTCAATACTTCAATTTGAAATTTCTTATTTAGCTAGGTATGATCTTACACAAGAATTGTGAACAAGTATATTCACCAGGCATAAACCAAACCGCATGGAAAATTCGGTCCATTCGCCCGGTGCAAAGACTAATGAGAACAATAACACTAATGCTGATAATATGCAATAGTTGTGACAAAGGTCACCAAGCAGAATGTACATGAGGAGGCAAATAAATTTTAACATAGCTACAGAGCCATGAAGCAGGGGACTAGGAATGGTGACACTGGTGATGAAGACTGCGGCCAGCCGCCGGACGGTCGGAAGGCTTCACCCGGCCGGATACGGCCCGCGGGCCGGGATCTGTAGACCCATGTTTTTAAGCACAAATAATATGGTCCAAACTGGAAACCAAAACAGTGGTATTTGTGGTGACCCCAAAGTACGATGACCTCTTGAGCTGAATGAACCTTGACGAGATACGCGGTAAGACCCCTTTTGAATGGTCCCAGAATTCAAAGGTAACAGGGATGGCATTTTTCCAGGACCATTGACTCTGTGCGCTGATCAAACCTAACACACCGATCTCACCAGCCATTTCGACTACGCCACCGCTGCCGCAATGCATCGAGGGAACTTTAGTCTTTGGGCACGTGCGACAACCTCGCAGGAGCTCTTCGCGTGAAGAGCACGAGACGGCACGATCCCTCTCGTGCACTGCCTTCTGCCTCATGTGAACTAAAGTTATGGCGGCGTCACGCATGCGCCGAATGCTTAGTGAGAATGGTCTATTGTAAAAAAACCGTATTTTAATTACTTTTTTTTTTGAGGGGGCGGGGGGGTGGAGGGGGGGGGGGGGGGTCGGGACATCAGTATACGAAATTTATCAGATAAATCTTTATTGACCAAAATTTTACCGGCGGAGGAATTTCAAAGTTTTTCAAATTTATCAGAAAACAGGGAACCCTAATTATAACCAGACCTGTAGCTAACGCGTTCCTATAACGAGTTACTTATATTTTTTGTAACGAAATAACAATATGGTAGCCATACAAGAGAAGGAACGAGTAACGTATTTTATTTAGTTCGTGATTAACTAACGAGTAAACGGTATTTAGTTACGTCTGGAAGGGAACGTTTGCAAGACGGGTACCAAACCTGGTTCTCAGCCCAGCTCGCGTCTGTAATTTTGCACGACACGAAAAACGCTAGATCGACAACCAAAAACACGTGCACAAGGTATGCCAGTACCCACAGTTAACCCTGGATGAACGCATTAAAAATATTAACGACGTCATGTATTGGAAGCGTGTACTGCTTCATCAAAAACGACAGCGAGAAAATGACCCGTTACATTCTAGCGGAAGTAGAGTGTTCCTTTTGAATCGCAGTAACGAGTCGCAACAGTTAACGTAGTTAGGAACTTGTCGAGCGGTAGACGAGCAACGTTATTTAGTAAATTTATTTCAGTAACGTGTTCATATCTGATGAATGAGGGTTCTCTGTTTTCGAGTTTATTATTTTGTTTTTCAAATTGGATAGTGTGGTTTCTGGTGTCATTTTCCCCCCCACCGGTTCAGTGTTTTTCAACATTGATCTCCTACGTCGGACAAAACTAGATGATTATCGGGGTTTAGGGTGTAGGGGAACAAGACACGCAGTCATGAGACTTTCTAAACTACAAGGAACATGCTTGTCACCACCCGAGCATCTATAAATAAAACGTTCCTGTCTCGATAAGAAAGCAAAACAGAGGAATGAAGGTGCTTATCGGGTGTTTTCCGACTGCCTGGGTGATTTGGCAAAATGCTCAATATTTTTACACATTCCTATCAAGCTTAATATTTCGTATAAAATAAATCAAAGAAATAAAAAAAAACTAACCTTAGGCCTTTCCGCCTTGCAACATCTCTTAAAACGTAGGTGACATTAACAGTGAACCGTCGGTTTCGGTAGACCTTAGTGGTCACGGGCGTAGTCGGCGCGTTGAGCTCTAGTGGCGCTTTCTGGATTGAGAGCGTTGAACCGCGTTTCCGACTGGGGCTTCTGATTCGTATGCCGCTTGCAAAGCTACTCCTTGAATTGGTTGCCGCGCTTCACACGAAACGCGGATGACCCGGTGACTCATAGCCGTCTCTTGACGCAACGCATTCAAACGCATTCAAACGCAACTTTGTGTACAGACGTTGTTTTTCGTCGACACCGTTTATTGTCAATCGCGTAGCGAGCGGCGCTATCGCCCTGCGAAGAACAATATTAGATGCGTATCGCGGTTGCGTACCTTGTGAGAGAGAACACCATGACAGGCTTAACGCGGACACCGCAAGCTTTACTAACCCAAGACATGACTCAAGTATGGTCATAGCCTCCTGCGTACTCCGCATGCCTGTCGGAAGGAGGAAAATACAACTGGGGCCGCTCTCTGAGAAGTTGCGCGCCGCCGCCGTTGCTTCAGGGTGGGGCACCACCTTCGTTGGACAGCCTAGATTGAAGAGAGGGATCATCTCAAACCTCGGGAAGCGTTTTCAATTTAATGGCGGACACCTCCTGCGGCGATAGGTCGTAGGTGCGCATGCGCTGCGTTTTCGCGTGCGAGGAGATAAAGCAGAAGGAAAGTCGAAGACGTTTGCAAACGATCACCTTTGTGGTCACCTGCCCGCAGCTGCTATTACAAACGCAGCCCGTAAACCCCGTGACGCCGTTCGAGCAATTGGAAGCTCTCTGTAATTCAGGCTCTCTAGAATGGATGGATGGATGGATACATGTAGACCGTTTGAATCGTGCGGCGGCTCGCGCTTACCGTAGCTAAAGCTTCTCGCTCAAACTAGCTAATTTCTGATTAAATTCGCAATCCACGGAGAAGGGCAATATAATCCCTTACAGCTACTAAACACAGGCCTTCATCTACCACTCTCCACGAAACTTCATTCTTCCCTCGACGTATGCAACTGACAAAGATTGAGGTTTTCGGCACCTCTCAACTCCTTCACCATCTTCTAAGTCACGTGCGCTGTGACGTGAAAGGAGGACGTGCGGGGTTCCGGTGAAGCTCTCTCTAGAGCCATCAGTGAGCAGCGAGAACTCATCCGCTCTCGACCACGTGACCACATGCTTGCGCAGCTAGATCAACATGGCGACAGGAGGAATGTGGCAACGTGCTTGTCCGGGTCCGGCCATCCCCGCTCGGCTGTGCCTCCGTCCCCCTCCGGCTTCTGGCGGTTGTTCCAGCACCTCCTAGGCAGCTTTCAAGCCTGTGCGTCACGTGACATGACGTCACGTCCGAGAGGCCTGCACGGGCGCTGATTGGATGCAAATGCCGCGTCAGCGTTCGCGTGTCGCTCGTTTCCTCTCATAGTCCCACGTGAACGCTGACGCGGCACTCGCATCCAATCAGTGCCTGTGCCGGAATCCCGGACGTGACGTCATGTCACGTAACGCGCAGGCTTCAAAGCTCTGTCGGAGGTACTGGCTGTTCGCGGTAGCGGATAGAGCTGACGGTTTTGTTGACCTCGGATAGATGGCGCCACTAAAACTTCGTGTAATAAAAGTTTTGTCGATGTTACCAAGTTTTTGGCGCCTCTATATTTATGCTGGAACGACAAGATTTATAAAAAAAATTACTTTTATCGGGCATATATTCGCACAACTTGCTATCTTTTTACAAGTACCCCTTTGACGTCACGCCGCGTGGTTCTCCTGGCCGCCGCTCGAGGCTGCATATCGTAAAATATTCTCATTTTTGCCTCACGATTACGCGGCGCAATCGCAACATTTCGAAGGAAAGAGATGTGTTTTCTTTTCTTTTGGACAAGATAAACAATATAAAAAGTAGAAGATGCAAATCCTTTCGACGTTAGAAACGTTGCACAGCACCTTCAAGAGTTGTTATATTCCTGTCATTCAGGGTGAGCGAATGCGTTAGGACTCCTTGCGCTCCACTATGACGCGTTGAGCGCACCGCGGCTGCGATAGCAACCATGTCTTCGTAAGCAGTCACAAGCGGTATTAACGCAATTGGTCACAAACTCAAACGCGCCACATATCTGAACTAAGACTTAACCAGGCTTTAGGCTGCAGGCGCACTGCGTTCGCAGCAGACATAACGGCAGAATTACCCGCGGAGACGCCTCAGAAATGGTCGAAGCATGTTTACATCTGTATGGCTCGGAGATGTCTACAGAGAGATTTTGTATCATCAATGTGCGCGCCCCTAATAAAAGAAGAAAAACAAAGTCCGAAGACAGCTAAGTACTTTCTATGAGTTGTGAATACGAAAGCATGAATGTCGTTCTTCCGCTCTCTTCATTCTTCTGCGGCGTAGTGGCCTAGACAGCCACGTGGCTATCCACGCCACGTGGCTGTCCACCGTCGAAACGTACGAAACGTACGTTCCGCTGGTGGACGGCCGAGCGCGCGCTCGTGAAGTGACTGCGCCGCGCTGAGCTCAGCCGTGTACCCTCCCCGGAGCTTGCCCGCACGGGCTCTGGGAGCCTGGTTCCTTGAAGACGCGCGTTACCCCGTGGCAGCATAATCCATCAGAAATCAGCTTCACTTGGAAAAGGGGATTTTAGGTGCCGTTTCGCAAACGTTTGGCGTGGTTTCAAAGCTGATGACGTCGGATCGCTCCATGGGACCCAGTTAATGCTTTCGCATTAAAAACATGTCTCAGAAAGCGTTTGCGGACTGTCTTTTGTTCGATGTATTAGAAGCGTGAGTAGGGTTTTGGTACACTACAGTATCAAATCAACTGGCGTGCCAGCGGCTTCGATTGTACTGCGTACCAAGTACGAGACGTTTCAAAATATCGTATGGTATATTTTATGGCGAAATCTAGCTGACGCTTACACAATTGTGGGTTTGAATGATTCTTTCAGAGCCGATCAGGCAGCCCACCCAGCTTGACCATGGAAAGAATTTCCCCCGACTTGGAGATGATTGCCAAGCGAGAGCTCGGTGAAACACCACAAGTGAAAGAAGAAGCCGTGGCTCAACTGCGGGCGCTTCTTTCCGGTAAATGGGAACGCAATGACGTGGTGGACTTACGTTAAACGTATACATAAAGATAATAAGGTCTGGTCATCGGAAAGCTTGAATTTATATATCTCACGAAGTTTTTGGAAATGAAACGCTTCGAGAATAAGCAGTAATTATCACGCAAGTAGGAAGAAGGAGGATAAAATGGGCTGTATGAATGAGGAGCAACTTGAGACCGCTAAGGCCTGGTATAAAAATTTAAGTGTATAAGATAATAATATTGGGGAAAGTAAAATTCAAATGAACCTGTAATGATGCATAAGGCACTATGGGACTACGAACTTGGTTATTTATAAAGAAGTTATGGTGAAGGGACGGCGCATTCGGTAAAGCCCGTGAAGTAAGACAACGAGTCAATTTGGGCGCAGTGATTAGCGCCTCCGCATGTTTGCCACATCGCCTGGTTTACGGGGAGAGAGAGAGGAGAACAGGTCCGAGGCTCGGATAAATACACCTTACTCATTCAGCGAGAAGCTTTTAGCCGGCGCCCAGATTTGCATACGCTTGCCGGGCAACAAAATCTGAAATCCGCCTAAAGGCTAGCGCGCGAATCACCTTAGTCAGCCGAGCCTCGACCACCTCCGCTCCTTTCCCTCCTCCGTCAACCAGGCAACTTAAACCCCCCTCTCCTCTAAAAGGATTTGGGGAGTATAAATGAATATCCAAATTTAATAGACTATATGTCTAACCGAAGACAGGCGTACCCTTGGCGCAACAACCTAATGTCCGTGCGAAAGGTTAGAGCTTATTATTTATTATTTAAACTGGCGGATCGCGTGATGTCCACACAGCAGCACCAAAGTGGTGGTGCTCAAAGGCCGCATATGCAAACGTGTGTTCAGTGCTCGGCAAACTTGTCCGGAACACGTCAACGACATCTGATTTCATGGACGTGCTATCCTGGCGGCAGCGGAAAAACTGATCCACGACTCAGCGCTCAATAGAACAGTTCCATACGTCGTTTCATTTCAAGTATAGACGAAGCGAAGGCTACGAGCAAATAAGACCAATTTAGAGAGCGTCAAAACCGCACCATCATGGTGTTTGTCATGTGTCGGTACGTATTCTATCGTCGCTGAACCAATCATAAACGTAAAAGGACCAGTGACTTGCACTCTTGACGTTGCTTGATTCATCCCATGCCATTTCCTCGTAGCGTCGGCTGCATCTTGACTTAAGCTGAGACGAAGTATGGGAGGGTAGGCTGCTTGCTCAAGACCGAAATCGCTGTTGGGCACGGGACAACGCAGCAGTTTTTCCTTCGATGCGTTATACGATTTTCAGCTTATTCAGTAGGAAGACTCATTGCTTTCTGATCGAATTATTCAATTACTGACTGTTCCGACAGTCACCTTTGCACCTTCGTGCGAAAAGGTGGCTGTAACAATAGATTGGCTGAACGTCAAAATAGCCGCAGTGTCCACGGTCCAGCGTGCCCTGAGGGGGGGGGGGGGGAGGGGGGGGGAGGGGAGGGGAGGAGAGGGAGGGGAGAGGAGGGGAGGCATATTAAAGGTTGAGATTGGGAGAAAAACGTTATTGCAAGAACTGCTATTTTAAAGCGTTAACGTACTACGTGCGTGCTGTAATCAGTAACAAGAAAAAATAATTCTATTCACGAGTCTTGACAAAAAACGTGTTTGTGGGCAAGAACAGTACTCTCAATTTTACTGGGTAAATATTTTAAAGTAACTACTTTTTTTTTTAATATATTTGTAACAAGTTGGTATAGTTTCCGCTTGCTTCAACTCCCTCTGTGCCAATTTCAAAATTATGCACTCCTGCAAAAAAGGGGCATGATTCCTTAATGGGACAAAAAGACGGGACGGCCGAAACGGACCTCAAAAACGGGACTGTCCCGGCCAAAACGGGACGTCTGGTCACCCTACTACTAAGGCTGTTTCATTCAGCGCTAGTTCAAGCTGTAGTTCTTAGACTGAGGTCAGGAAAGCGCTCTCACGAGAATAGGTACCGTTGGCGTGTTGAGGATAAGTTTGGCGAGTGCTGTACATAAGTGATTTTGCTCGCCAGTGATAAGAGATCCATGTACGAGTTAATAGATTGGGCATTTCCGACACATACCTCACTCCATGCACCCTTGACAGAGGATCCGGTATTGCATTGCCCCTTGGACGAAGATTTCCTGGTGAAGTTCCTGCGTAGCCGGAAGTTCCACGTGAGGGAAACCCTGGATATAATTCGGAGGTATTTCCGGGTCCGCCAGGAATACACCGACCTTTTCGACGATCTGCTGCCGTCACGCATCTTGTACGATGCGACACTGCACCAAAACAAGCTATTGACTGTTCCCAAGGAGCGTGATTCTTTGGGAAGGCTGATTGTCATTGTCAAGCTGGGTGAGTCGGATTCTCCACGAAACAACTTTCGAACCTTTCGGTTAGTAGTGCTCAATAGAGAGATCAAATTTTATAAAACCAAGCCACCTACGCATGCCTACGAACGGGGGGTTATAAAAGATAACAGGACAGGTTATAAAAGATAGGTGACTCAGGGGTCCGGCGAGCTCAAGGCTTCCACTGCCACGCCGTGCAGCCTAACGTTGAATTGAATGTAGCTAGCCTTCTAATTTGAGATTAAACGCGTTGTACGTTGGATCGCGGTTACGAAAATGGCTCAAAGCCGTACGACTTTGATCACCGCCGGATGGTTCATCGATGACCAACAAGGGGCGCACTAAATTGATTTACCTTGTAGAACCCCCCTCCCCCCCCCCCCCCCCCCAAAAAAAAAGAAAGAAAGAAAAACGCATTTGCATCCCTAATTATGAATGGAGGGAACATTTGGTCTGCGCACCGCGACATCACAAAAATACGTTTGGTGCGTAAAAAAAGGCACAGCATTCAAATTGTCACACACAGATTAATCTAGGAGTTAGGATATAATACTTGTGAAATACAGAAGATTCCTTTTCTTTATACCTGAGTAAGGTGTGCGGTAATTAGGCTTGAGCGTTACAGCCACCGAAACAAATATAATTGTTTGCAGAATATTTGCTCCTGCCCGATTTTTTGACGACTGCTCTTTTGTGCTCAACCGGGTGATTAAGTTGAGATTTAAGAAGTTACTTGTCCAGCATGTTTTGCGCTGTACAGCTGTTTCTACGTGTGCAATGCTGTTTCGGCATGCATTAACATCTAGGATAGACAGTGTACCGTTTCGTTCTTTTTCACGTGAGATTGTATTCACGGTTAAGCGCTCTTCAAAGTGAAATGAAAGTGATTAACACTGTCTTTATTTAAAATTACGTGAGTGTCGTCCACGTAATGCCTATAAAACCTTACTGGGTGCACATTCCGCTGTAGACCGGTTTCCTCATCCTGCACCATGACAAGAGTCGCCACAGTCACTGACACCAAACTACCCATTGGACAACCCTGAATCTCGTGAAGATCAGTGTTGCCATTGGGGGGTCGATTGAAGTAGCCAAAGCACAAACCAAATGTATCCAAACGTGTGCAGTTTATTTATTTTCGCGCCGAATGTGTCGTCACCGTATTTTTAAAAAAGAAATACATCATAAAAAGTGTACAAAATTAAACTCTACAAGAAATGGGAATATTAGGGAAAATATTGCTCTGTGCAACCGCAATCGACACGAATAAAAGCTACCGCATCTAGTGCAATTGAGGTTCATTGGCTAAAGAAGCGCGATGGGCAAGTCAAAAGTTGAGGATGTTTTTTCCTGCAGCCCCAGCCCGACCTTCAGCCTCAGAATTGCCTCACGGACGTCGAGCTTCATTACGTTTCGGCTTTGTTAACGATATTTGAGATATCACACGCTCGGAATCCGCGTTCTATATGGAAAGTGATAAGATTTTTAGAGCACCCTTTGAGAGGTAAGGAAAAGGGTGTACGCCAGAAGGGCCCTTGTAAGCGGCGGCATCGTGTCAAACGCTTAGGCAGGTCGTATGCTCCGAGGTGCTTGAAACAGACTACAGGTAACGGATTACTAATTTGAGTTCGTGAGAAAAAGGTCCAGAAAAGTGAGCTGGATGTCTCAATATGTCTGCGCGGCTCTTGGTTACGGTTTCTGGATTGATGGTATTGAGCCTCCGAACCGCGGACGAAGCCTGGGTTGCGGTTTTTTTTATCTTAGCGAAGCATCAGCTGATGCTCCTGTTTACCTTACGTTTGTGGCCACGTGGTGGGCTTCTCATTCAGTATCGTGATAACCATAATGTGCCAAGTTTCTTTTTCTTGTCTTTTTGAAAGCCCGTAGTAATGCCCAAAAATTATCTGTCGTATTTCTAACTGTGTAGTAAACACAAAAAAGATTAGTTGACTAATAATGACTGATTTCGACGAAGCTAAGGATTTTGTTCATCTCAGTTTTCTGATCGGCTACTCGTTCAGTATTGTGATGATCGGAAAGTGCCAGGTGGTTCTTGGTATTCTTTTAAAGCCTATCGTAATGACAGAAGTAATGTCTCATCTCTCTGTCTGTTTGTATACACAAATATTGATTTGGCTACAAATGCGCCAGAATTTAAGTTAAAAAAATGTAGCCAGGGAAGCCAGGGAGCGAAACTTAATTTTTTTTTTTTTTTGCCGCCAGACAGACTTGAGAGTAGCCAATTTGGCGCAAAACAGCCCCCAACGGCAACACTGCTGGTGATAAATTTGTCAACTAAACCTATGACACTGACTGAGGCAAAGCAGTAACAGCGTAACAATGTCCTAGAGTGTTAACGATGGACTTGAGTGGAGCTAGCGCGTTTGAGCTACTCTTTCAACCAGAGGAATGGGACCATTTGTAAACAAGTAGACATCGAAAAAAAAGCATTATTTCATCCTCGTCAAGGTGCTGACCTGAAACGTATTCCACGAACTCCTGGGAATTACGTACTATCAAATTGTTTGTTTCGCTTACGGGAGTGATCAGTTCTAAATATTTTGATAGGCTGTAAATGGGAGTAACAATGAATGAAACAATCGAGCGCAATGGACCCTCGGGTTTGGGAACTTTAGGAAGACACTAAACGTTAGGAGGAGATCCATCAGAAGAAAAAAGACGACGGTGGTTGGCACTGGATAGGTGTTTCTTCTTTTTCAGTCACGGGGGTTATCGACAAGGGATATCTCAGATTTTGAAGTGGGGTCCCGTGGCAACCTCACGAAATGCGCTGTGTCATCAAGAACCACCTTCACTGCGCTGTGATTTCCACTCCTCTAATAACCCTCACGGGCTGGCAGTGTCAATAAATAAAATGAACCAAATACGTTAACATTCTGGCTCCAAACATTTCTTTCTAGGTGCCTGGAATCCGGCTGTCTGTTCACTGAACGAGCTCTTCAGATTGGTGCTTGTTGGGACAGAATGCAATCTTATGGTTCCGACGAACCAAATCACAGGCGTCGTAGGAGTTGTTGATCTGGATGGACTTCACATCTCTCACTTTCTTTACTTCACGCCATCGGAAATCAGGAGGGCAGTCAAGATAATGCAGGTATAACTTTGACATTTACGTGTACTTGAAAAGTTCACCCTTAAAATGATATGGTTCCATGTTTTCGGTATACAGGGTGAATGAGTTTTAACTCGAATCCACCTTAAAGAAAAAACGTGTTGAGATTTTGATGAGTGACGTCTTAACCATGTGTTTATCAAGCTCGAAGGATATTAGATGAGGGGATAGTCGTCACGGTAGTTGGTTAAGTGTCATTTGTTAATCAGCTAGCTTTTTGAATTATTTAGTTTAGGGGTCGTAATGCAATTACAGTATTGACGGCCATTGCTAATAGCTGCCATACCAGTAAATTAGGAGAATTTGGAAAACAATTAATATTAAAAAGTTATTTGATACATATTCACGTTTTTCACCAGATTTAAAAATTGCGCGCAAAGAGTTAACTGCACGCCCTGCTCTCAATGATGCTTAGAAGATTGACTTAGAAGTTTCAATCATATCGTCACTATCTCGGCAGCTTGTCTTTGGCAGTCTTGTGCTCGCTACTTGAAAAATGTAATAGGTTATAATTACAAATTACCGAGCCTCAAATATAATGAATTACAGTTTGTGGGAACCATGGGGTTTCTTATATTCCTATCCAGGCCTAGCTTCGAGCAGGCCGTGGGAGCCGTCGTCACCAATGGCGTCGGCCTCCCGGACACAAGGAACCGAGGCCGAATTCCCCGAAGGGGCCGGCGCTCCCTTGCCCATTTTGGGTGAATGTGCCACTGGCGCACCCTTGAGAGTTATAATGGACGCGACTGCTAGCGGCCTCCCCGGACGCGTCCATTCTCCGAGGCTACATAAGCTGGCCCCGAACGTGGGCCAGGGGCTCTCGTCGGCGGAGGCCCTGGCTCTACGGAGCTCCGTTTTTCTTTGTGGGCCTCCGACTTCCCGTGAATCTGTCTAATCCGGCAGCGCGGGAAACCGACCGAGTGATACTGGCAATTGAGCCAGCGCCCAGACTTTTCATTGTCTAAGAGCGAAGCGTGTTTTCATTGCAGTCAATAAACACGTCTTTATTCGGACCCAAGGAACCTTCTGTGTTTCTAAGTGGTACCCCCAAAGGGAAAACCCACAAGTTACAATTTACTTTTGCTCAAAATTAACGGATTAGTTTACTCGTTACGTTAAAATTACTTTCACGTTACTTTTTCCGTACACTTAACCAGAAAATTATAAAACGATTTTGATATTTTGCAAAAATGTTCTGCAACACTACATTTTATTTCTCTTATGCCCATATTATAGTAGTCTTTGTAAAAATAAAATATTGTATTTAAGAGAAAGAGTATAGGTGCTCTTTGTTCACCTGTAAGCTGACAAGACACCGAAAGCTGCAACCACACCCGCCATCCCGTTAGCTTAAGGCCTCCGAAAATGATCCCTGCAATTGTGCAGATAAAGCTAGCGGTGCTCATGCTCAGTAACAGAGTCTGCCTCCATCTACGAGATTTGGAGCTAAAAAAGCAATGTATGAAAGCTCCTTCTTGACGCGGGTGTTTCATCTGTTATTCACAGAAAATAAAAACTTCGTTCTAACGTTACAATCTATAGCCAATGCAGAATGTAGGTGTCCCAGCTTACCTTGATGTGTCTCCGTAGATTAGAGTTTGTTCTTGCTGATTACAGTATGTGTTTTTTCGGCAAGCAGAAGTATGCACTGAAACTTTAGGTTTCCGTTCTCCTTAATGCCCTGAATTTTGAACATCTCATTAGATAGTTGGCCATGGAGACGACGGACACTCCATGACCGAAAACTCGACCAGTCAGAGAAAAAATGGCGGTTACGGGTTATCAATCGTTCATCGGTTCTCAATTTCATACCAATATGGCACGAATATTGGCAATATTCGTGGAGGCCACGGGAGGGGAGGGCATGGAGAGCGAGAGAAGCGGTGACCATCGGTCTCACAAAACAATAGAGGATCACACCTCTTTTACGCCTTCTCTCTTTCTCTGTGTCAGCACTCCCTAGATGGTGTAACCTCCTCCCCCTACTGTAAAGTGAGGGGGAGGAGGACCACCATTCCCAGATAATTAAACCAAAAGAAGTATCATCCGTACCCCAGACTTCTGCCCGTTACTCAAAAGAAATCAATTACCATTACAATTACTTGACTTTAAATGTAACTGATTACCGTTAAAAATTACTTGCCGTAAAAGGTAATCGATTATTTACTTCGTTACTTTACTCGATTACTTTTGCGTTACTCCAAAGAAACTCACAAAAAACATTCAATGTTTACTGTGTGTTTTCGGGGCGGCATTTATTGCCTCATCAATAATAAAACCCGGATCAAATGCACTCAGTAGAATTTGTCACATAGGTTAAGGTTAATAACATTAAGAGGTCAAACGTATAAAATAATAAATGACTTAAACTGGTGTTTGAGATAAATGGGTCCAGCATGTAACCGACCGAGACAGAGTTGCATCGCATGAACATACAACGTTTGCATTTGGGCAATACACTTCCTAATGCTGGTGGAGACCGCAGACACCACTCAAAATAATCCTAGTTCAGTATCCGTGAACTGCAAAAAACTCTCCTTCCACGAGCCAGCACTGGCTGCTTCATGCCGCTAAAGGGCTTTGTTGCTATTTTAGGAGGTTTAGTTGTGAGATCAAAATGTTTTACTTCCTTTCGGATACGTCTCGAAGACTGCTGCTTGATGAATGTTGCTATCCGACCGAATGACTTCTTTTTTCTTGTTCACCTAATTTAAATATTAATGCTCAAAGCCATGGCGGAATCGCGTATGCCGTGAAGAAATTATCAAAAAGTATCAGTATCAGCACTCGCCCACGTCTCTCACACATTTAAAAATAATAATAATTACTATTATTATTATTTGCACATAACAAGGACATCCTTGACGGCGTGCAAAACTGAACAGAAAGGTGAGAACCATTAGGCAAGCGCCCTGCCAGCCCGCTCCTGCCTCAACTCGAGTGTCCATGTCAGCCACTGCTTATTCGCTGCTTTCCTTTCCCCAAAGTTTCGGTCTAACTTCCCGCATGCACAGTCCGCTAAGATAACCACCACCGACCCCCAACTGGAACTTCCTTCAACATTCTAATTTTTGAGAATGCGGTTTGGAAGTCTCCACTGCCTGCTCATTGTTTGCCGTCGAACGTGACGAGGGTATTTGGCCGATCTCCGTTTAAACTGACAATTTTTCTGTTACAATAAGCGGCCTGTGTCATATCGCCGACGCATGTTCCACTTACACGAACCCGCTAGTGGGAAGTCACTTGGCACAAAGCGCACAGCTGGTTGGACTGCAATATTGAGCTTTTACAACGTTAAGCCGTGAACGGAGGCCAGGCCCCACGCTGTTCTGTGTGTGTTTGCGGGGTGATCGCCCTTAGGTGGAAACATCAATAAACGATCAAACACGAAAATAAAACGCAGACAGCTGGTTATCTTTCGAGCCCGTTCTGATTTCGAGCTGCTCACAAGGTCCTTTCTCGAAGCATCCTTCTCGGTTCGGCCTGCCGCATTTGGTCCTCTCTTGTTGAATCCATCGCTTTTCATCCTCCAAGGAAAAAAAAAATTGGGACATTTCTATGTGAAGGTGTCACGGTTTGGTCACCGCATTTGCCCGAACAAGCTTCTTCAAGTCCGTTCCTTCCTCATCCCATCTCACGCGCGCTAACATACACACGCACATGTGCTTCGGTCCCCCCGTTTGGTTAACGATTGCTGGTATACGTTCTTTCTGCTCTTGAAACGTGCAGCGAAGGTCAGGACCCGCTCGTTGAGTTGTCCGGAAGTGGTCGCAGACGCTGGACAATAAAACACCGAACCCCGTCTTTGTGTCAAAGCACGGCTTCTGCACCTCCCTTCTCCCGAGCCGCGGGAGGGTGCACTCGGAGTGTTGCTAGGAACACAGCGCTGTCCCGTTTTCCATGAATTCCTTTTCTCTCCCTGGCTAGCACTTCCTTCGCCTGAAACCCGCATCTTGTGTGACCGAGTTAGAAGCGCAGATATAGTTGCATCGCCCTTCTTCCACCATACATTTTCTTTTCGCCGGATGGTGGGAAAGTAACGAGTATTTTTGAGTAATTCGTTACCCGGAAAGTAATGAAGTTACTTTAGAGTTACAATTTCAGAAATGTAATAGATTGATTACTAAATTACAAAAAAAGTAACGGATTACAAGTAGTCCCGTTACTCGCAACGGATTACTTCCATGTCTGCCCTACCCTCGAAAACGATGCTCTTAGCCTCGCGCCGGGCGCTTTTTGAGCCATACCTCAAGAGCATGCTAGAATACTGTAACACATATCAAAGGCAAAGAGAATTGGACCCCCTCGCGCGAGGCTACATCGTATGTTACGCGAGCTGTGAACTTGCGAATCGAGGGGGACCCGCTTTTGATGTCTGTGCAGGTGGCGGGAGACGTCGAAGAAATTGGAAAGGGTGAAACGTGTAAAAGACAAAAAACAAATAAACACGAAGAGCTTTCTCCTGTCTGGGAGAAGAAGAAAAACACGATGGAAGACGACGGAGAGCCTATTCGACGTTGTCTTACTTGATCTTTGTCTTTCTTTTACTTGTACGTGCGTGGCCCGTTTTTCTAGTGGTTCTAGTGACCGGTAATATAACAAATCGTGTTGTTTTCGGCTATTTTCCCCTTCCTGATGTTTTCTATTTTCTTGAACTTGCTCTCGTTATGCCGCTGAATGTTCTTGTATTGCTCCAGTTACTGTAGTATACTCACATTTTTTAAAAAAATAACGAGGAATTAAAGTAATCCTTTACCGACATTTTGTAACGAAATTACATTACAAATTACTTCCGAAAAAAAGTAACGTGACAATTACAATATTCCTTAAAAAAGTAACGGATTACAAGTAATTCGTTACCTTTAGCGGATTTCTTCCCAAGTATGGTCTTTGGTGGGGGGTACGCATACGGCACAAGTGATGTTGCCGAAACTGCTACGTCACTTTTCTACGCGTGATTGCGGGCAGTGTTGGCGGAGCGCTTCTTGCGCGCTAATTTTTAATCGGGCTGAATTACGTGAAAATTTGTCACGTAATATCTAAACAAAATACAATATCTTTTTTTAAATACTTTTAATTGGTCTGTGCTCTAATCGTCGTTGCCGTCAATACTGCAGTTGCAACATTATCCATAAAATCAATCAGTAAGAAGTTATTAACCCGTTTTTATTGATTAGTCAACTTATCGTGATTATCATCCCCTCATCTAATGTCCGCCGAGCCTGATAAGCACGTGTTGAAGACGACAATCGTCTAACTCTCATCTTCACTCCTTTTTAAACCTGTTCAATAAAAAATTGAACACCCTTTATATCGACAAGCCATGGGAATCAAGCCCCAATCAAGTGGTGTAGTAATAATAAAATAAATTATTAAACAAAAAAAAAAAAAACGAAAGATGCTGGTTTGGCGTTGTCCTTGAATAAGGAAAGCTGAAGCTTCGCAGAGGTATAACTTATCTACAGTTTATTTGTCTTGTTATTCCGGAACACAGCTTCCACATAACTCTCTGTGAGGCTTCTTTTTACTTTTAAAAGCACATTCTTCGCCTCACGTACTTCCCTATTCAGAACCTTGTCGTTTTCCAACAGTTCCGGGAACGCTCTTGTTTTCTGTTGGCAGCGCTGATCCCACGGCTCTTTCCTGTTTTCTTTTATAAACCCCCCATAACTACCGACTTTTCTTCCAATATTTCTTCCAGTATTGAAAATAAGCGCCAGAAAAACGCGGAATCAGCGCTGAAACAAGACGTACAGAAGAGCATTCTTGTAGGTATGTTCGATACTCGTGCCGTGAGGCAGAAAATAATCTTGCGACCGTCTCCGAGTGGAGGTGAAAGAGTTCTGTTTACTCCGCAACTTGGCAATACCCAGTTAACCTTCGCTCTTCCATAGCCAGCCGAGAAGATCTGGTGTGGCGACATACTTGTGTCATACTCCGTTTCACGATAACTTGGCGAACTGTGGAGGCTACGGCCCCCGTGACCCAATAAGAGCGTCGGAGCGAGGCCCGTGTCACCGAGCCACGGGAGCGTGTATGTCACTGCACCCAATGCGAGGACCGGAGTAACTGGCTGTCGTCTGCTGGCAAAGAGTCATCTGCTGCGAAGCAAACCAACTTTGGATGAACGTCCACCGCCGCAATGTTGCCGTCCTCTAAAGTAGCGAGGTCTTCGGGATCAGTTCATGGTACTACCATACGCTCAATTTTCTGACGAACCTTTGGCGGGTGCCAAGGCCAGGGCGAAGTTCTAAACGGAAGCGGTCGATTACAGGGCTGCCATCGTACAAACATCGTTGAAAACCCACGTTGTTTTCTGAAAAGGTTTGATCCGTATTGATTATCGTTGAAAACTAACATGTCATTGTCTTTCTTTCCTGTGGTGTCGATAGAGATGTGATCGTGCCAGTTCAATTGTCATTAAAATAAAAAGAAGCCTAGAACTACATTTTGTCGCGGACGGCGCTGTTGCTGTGGTGGCGAGGAGGCGTCCATAGCCTTGGCCATGAAGTACTGCCACGTGGCTTGCTCCGACGCCCTTATTGGGTCGTGGGGTCCTCCACAGTTCACCAAGTTATCGTGACACGAAGTATAGTAGCCGCCTTCTTCATTGAACAGAGAGTGATTCCTGGTTCAAAAACATATTTCAATAAAACCACGAATTTGCTTTTCTGTTTTATTTTATGTCGCAAACGCGAGCGTATATGCATACTTCATTTGAGATCAAAACCACAAGAAAACGCATAACTGGTAACCTACTCGGAACTTTCAGGAAGGCTTAAAGATATACGTGCTTTTTTAATTACAGGACTCCTACCCATTGCGGGTCAAAGGCGTCTACGTCATAAACAATCCTCCAGTTTTTCAGCTGATCTACGCTTGTGTGAGGGTGTTGCTTAAGCAGAAGCATCGGGAAAGAGTAAGCTTCGTCTTAACGCCCATTTTTCTTAACGAAAAATAGTTGATATCCCAGTGTACTGATGTATACTACCTGACAAAAGCAGCGCCATACAAACTTGCTTTGAAACGTAAGCCGCCTTTAAGAAAAAAAATAATATATTGACTTGGTAATGTGGCAGCTATCTTAGATAATAACGGAATACTTTACTTTTAACGTGAACTGTTTATAATTAAATTTGTGTTTCGAATTTACAAGTCGCGCATTCGTTTTTTTCCGCTATGCATTGAAATAATACCGAAGAAAATTTACCCAGAGCTAACTTCTCAGTTTCCTCGCACAGCTCTAAAGAGGCCGAACGGAAGGCACTTACTTGCTTCTCAATGGAAATTTTTCCAAAGACATATCGACGGTATATTTGAACACTACCTTAAATTCTAGAAAAATTCCCCCCCCCCCCCGAAAGATAGCCCACCCATATTTTTTAATTGATTTGCTATATATTTGTAAACACCGAAAGATAGCCCACTCCTACTAATAGCAGTGTTGGGAATTGGTATCGATGATGGCCTCGGCGTAACTGCAGCTACTTATATATGGCGGGATATAAGCGTACGTTGCTGACTGGGAAGCACAGTCATCTTTGCTTCGTCGCCCCTCGCCACCATAACAAGTTTCGAAGGGACACATGACCTAATAATATAATTTTTTTGAACCATTCTTGATTGTACAGCGAAAGTTAGCCCACTCCGTATTTTCCCCTGATTTGCTCTTGATTTTAGGTTGGCTATCTCTCGGGATATTACGGTCGATGTTCACTAATGTTTAATAAAAAGTAATGCCTTCACCTTCATGAGCAGTGAACCGATTACAGGAGCGACCTCTGAGAAGCACTGAAATGTTGTATTGGTGGATTCCACTCCAGAGCCTGATTGCGTTTCAAATCGTTAGAGTGAATGGTTATGGAGCAACATTGGAAGATATAGAAACCCGTGCAGAACCCTCGTCACTGCGATATACGCAACGCGTTGTAATTGATTCTCGACAACAGAAGGTGTCACTCCCTCCAGTAGGAATTCCCAAAATAGTGCAAGCTGTTTATTGTAACTGTATGTATGTGAGAACTGTGAATCGTCGTGCTAGACAATGAAAATATCGAACACGAAGATTAGTATACGATGCAGGCTTGTACCGTAAATGTTAAGGCAACAGTCTTTTTTTGTTTAATTGTGTCCATTTTGACTTCATGGAATGAACTCAGAGTGTTACATTTTGGCGCTACAAACAGCAATTACAAAAACCTCACGTGGAACAGAAAGGCGCTTTTCTTGAAACCTGACAATGCCAGGCCACGCACAATACGTGCCGCAAGCAAAGCAATTGAAAATAAAATGTGATTATCAGCACACACTTCCTTTTACCATACACAGTTCAGACTTCTTTTAATTCAGGGAACTCCTTTATGGACATCACTTGGCATTCAAGAAAAAGAGTCTGTGACAGCTGCTGGGATATTGTTGCAGAAAGAGTGTGTAGACAATTTCCGTGACGGCTTCACAAAATATTTTTATATTTGATGGAAGTGTACTAAGTTATTCTGTGACTACATAAAAAAAAACAAAAAAACATTGTTTATATGTAATTGAAATGCCTAATCTATTTCGCTTTCTGTGTCTATCGTATTGAAATTTTTCCACCTAATCGTGAGCAACGTTCATGGTGGCATTACTTGTCTCTGAACGCTTTTATATCTTTGGACGCTACTTCCTTTCAGTTGCACGTCATTGGACGCGACTACGAGAGACTTCATCAATTCGTTCCTCGTGAAGGTCTACCCACAGAATACGGTGGCCTCCTGGAAAGCTACGACTACGGCGAATTGGAAGCAACATATCGAAGCAAAGAAGACATTTTTGTGGACCTCGGTAGATACGGCTACCAGGAGCGACAGGAGTTCAAGGAATCGGTTGAATCTGAACAAACCGATCGTCGGAGTGCTGTGAAGTGAAAATGCCAGAGGGCGCTTAACGTTTGCAGAAAAGAGAACCGTGTTCATTCGGAAAATAAAAATGTACTTAAAGTTTTTCGCACAGCTATACACGCTTCGCAGCATCTCTGCATGGGCGCCGTCATTACCGAAATTCAGTTTTTGTTTCCTCTCATTACGCTTACTTCACTTGATCATTACAGCAGCAGGACAGTTTATTGCCATGTTAGGTTCCACTGTGTCCTTCTCCCTAGCATAGGCCATTGTGGAGATTCGTCAACGCCCGCTTCAGTGGCTCAGCATTTCAGTAATGCAAGAGAAGCTCAGCAATGGCGGCTGTAATCTGGCGCGTGCGTTAAGCGTTTGTAGTTGCTGACAAGGTGACAACGCCTTGAAGGAGCTTCAGTTGTCCCGCTTCCAGCGTGAACTTCATTTCTCCGATGTCGGTTCAGCGTCTTGTGCACCTCAAGCGCGAGCGCAGCCAATGTACAGCGGAAGGCACGGAGCGAATGTTGGAGGCCGGAGTTTCGAAAGGCTTGCCCTGCTGTTATGAGAGTGACCATAATCGCGTTGAACAAACTGTAGCAGTCAGAAATCCGTGAACTAGATCGACATATTCCAAGGCCCATATTGCGTATTTCTTCCAAGGTGGTGAACTTCTACGTGCTGATTAGTGAACTTTGCACGCATGGTATACAGATTTGTAGACATTCGAAAGGTATGACTTCCACAATACTCTCAGAAGTGTTAAAACACTCCCTTTATTAAACTTCGAGATTTAGCCTCGTGTAATAATAATTAATTGGTTTGTGTGTGTGTTTATACAGCCTAGAACTTGGTCTGCCTCACAGGGGCGACGAGTCTCCCAGCTGTAGATGAGAAATTTAGCCAGCGCGGTACAGCCGCTAGCCTGGGGTCTTTAACGTGCGTCACGCAGTAGTGATACACGACCGCACGCCGGTACGATGCTCATCCAGATCGAAACGGGCAGGGGTGGGGCTCGAACCCAGGATCCCTGGGTTCTGCAGCGCGAGCTTTCGCTCCACGTGCTCCGAGCTGGTGTGCGCTAGACCACTCGGCCACCGATCCCCTTAGCCTCGTGTAGCAAAAGGGATTTCTGCATTCACGACACTTTGACACTGGTCTGCCTATGGGAACGGTTCCTTGTTTTCGAGTTTTATTGTTCGTTGTAATCTAAAAATGTTTAACGGATGTTTCTTTTTTTTTTTTTTGGGGGGGGGGGGGGGGAGGGAGGGGGATTGGGGGAGGGGAGGGAAGGGGAGGGAAGGGGAAGGGAGCGCTAAACTTCGAGTTTATTAGAGATTGGAGTTTATTTTGTTGTTTTCCCAATTCCCCGAATTCTGGAGAAGTTTTCATTGTCTCCTATTTTAAAAACATAAAAATATACAATATTCGGGTGTGAACCTGTGCTGAATTAAAAAAAAAAAAAAACGCGCTTGCATTAAAATATTTTTTCAGTTAGAGAGGCGCTGGAGTCCTTGGTGTGATCAGTAGTAATTTGTCAATGGTAACTTATAAACAAGTCTCGCTTCGTTGATACCTTAAAATCACTAAACTGATGGGGGTAGTCGCTGGGAGGCACGTTTTTGATCCCATTTTACTCATTCACCCTACCCTGTGGTTGCGCGGAGTGCAGTGGTAAATTGATCTAGACGATTCAACAACCTTTTCCCCTTCTGTGAAATTTGTGGTTTATTGCTTTCTCTGTTGCAAATTCCCAGCAATCATCATGCACTTTGTATATATATACAAGACCTATGTCATTACTATCTCCCTTTGCTAAGGTCTATGAAATTGTTTTATTTGAGCGCATTTCAAACTTTTTTAAGCATAAGATAAGTCCTTCACAACACGGCTTCATGCGTGGAAGGTCGGTGAGACAAATCTGGTGTCTTTTTTTTAATTTTGTTTCTCCTACTGTGTGTCAACGTGGACAGGTCGACGTTGTATATTCTGATCTCTCTAAGGCTTTTGACCTACTAGACCATTCGCTCCTTGCACACAAACTAGAATCATACGGCGTGAGTACCTCCCTTTGTTCCCTGTTTCTAGAGTATTTGTCTAATAGACACAATTTTGTTCGTGTTCTTGGACATCACTCCCGGCCTTACGTTTCTTCTTCGGCTGTGCCGCAAGGCTCCATACTTGGGCCAATCTTTTTCAATATTTTTATTAATGATTTGAGCTCAATTGTTCGCAATTCGGTCGTCCAGCAATATGCAGAGGTTTTCAAGTTGTTTAGGCAGATCATATCCTTGGAAGACTGTGAAAAACTTATGGAGGTTGTTAGGCGTGTGTGCAGTTGGTGTCGTCAGAACATGCTAACGCTCAATCCTTCTAAAACCGTTGTTATGTCTTTGTCTAGAAAGGTAGAGAAGATTAACTTTTGTTACCAGATTGGCAATGATCCTCTGCGAAGAGTCGAGGGCACGCGTGATCTTGGTGTATACATAGACTCTTCGTTATACTTTACTGTACATGTCAACAACCTTATAAATGGTTCTTTGCGTAAGCTCGGAGTAATTTCTAGAATCGCGCGTGAGTTCTCCACATCAACCTGTGTTTTTAGGTTATATTTTTCGTTAATCCGGACCAAGTTGGAGTTTTCCTCTGTAGTCTGGAATTCTATTAGTTCTACGAGCTAAGAGATGATTGAAAATGTCCAAAAGCGTTTTAGAGCGCAGCTCTTAGGGGCCCGTTCCCGGCTTGAGCGGCGTCGGCGTCGGCGTAACCAAGGTCACCCCAAGGTCACGCAACCCCCCCAAGGTCATCTTAAGGTCACGTGGCCCCCAAGGTCACCCCAAGGTCACCTGACCCCCAGAGGTCACGTGACACCCAAAGCCACGTGACCACCACCAGGGTCACGTGACCACACCCAGGGTCACGTGACCCCCCGCCGAGGTCACGTGACCTCCCCGATGACGTCATCGTCACTGATGACGTCACCGGCATCCGCATCGTCATCGTCATCGTCACTGATGACGTCATCAGTGACGTCACTGATGACCTCACCGGCATCCGCATCGTCATCATCACTGATGACGTCATCAGTTACGTCACTGATGACGTCACCGGCATTCGCATCGTCATCGTCATCATCACGGATTACGTCATCAGTGACGTCACTGATGACGTCACCGACATCCGCATCGTCATCGTCATCATCGCTGATGACGTCATCGGAGTCCGCATCGTCATCGTCACTGATGACGTCATCAGTGACGTCACGGGTGACCTCACCGGCATCCGCATCGGCATCGTCATCATCACTGATGACGTCACCAGTGACGTCACTGGTGACGTCACCGGCATCCGCATTGTCATTGTCATCATCACGGATGACGTCATCAGTGACGTCACTGATGACATCATCGGCATCGTCACGTGACCCCCCAAGGTCACTTCACCCCCCAGTACCCTTCCCTCCTCCTCCTCAAGAGCTGCGCTCTAATTCGGTGTTACAGGGAGTTGTAAACGGCTTTCACTTTTTTTCGAATTGTTTACGATCGTTTCATTGGTCGTACTGTTTATTATTCTTATGCGAGACTCTTGGAACGATGCAAATGCCCTATCTTGAGTTCCAGACGGCGTGAGCGCGATCTTGTTTTCTTGTATAAATGTATTCATGGATTAATTGATTGCCCAGATCTCAGATCTGCCATGAATATTCACGTTCCCAGTCGAGTTTTGCGGGTTTCTCCAACTTTCCATGTTAATCACATCATCCCAACTAGTCTCATGATCCGTATTCAACACTTCTACAATACCCTCAGGGAAGCAGATATTGATGTTTTCAACCCAAATTTCGTAGCTTTTAAGACTTTTGTAACTAACCTGTGAACATTTTGTTGCGCATCATTACCAAGGCATCAAGCTGTTCATGAGCACAGAAAATAAACAAATGAATGAAATGAATGAATGAATGAATGAATGAATATATGTATCATCCAATGATCACTTTTACTGGACCGGGCACCACGTCCAATAATTTAAATTGGGTGTTTGCAAGCCAACCGGGTACGGGCATTCGGCCTTTCAGCGAACTCCCGACTCTCCTGAGCTAAATAAATTATTTAATAATTTAATAAATTTAATTAAACCCGCCCTTTCTTAAAGAAACACAAATAGTGTAGTCCAAACTGGAAACAGGAACAGGTTTTTTTTTTTTTTTTTATCCTGACCTAGAATTACAATTGCCTGTGGTCCTGAGGGAACTTTGACGAGATAAATGATAAGAACGTTTTGTCAAATGATCCAGAAAAGATGAAAAAAAAAATGCTGGAGTGGCACTTTATAAATTTGGGTGTATGTTTATACAGCCTAGAGCCTAGTCTGCCTCAACGGGCGACTTATCTCCCACCTGTAGATGAAAAATTTAGCCAGTGCAGCACAACTGCTAGCCTGGGGTCTCAACGTGCACCACGCAGTAGTGATACACGACCGCAAACCGGTACGATGCTCAGCCACATCGAAACGGGCACGGGTGGGGGATTGAACCCAAGATCAGCGCGAGCTTTCGCTCCACGTGCTCCGAGCTTGTGTACGCCAGCCCACTAGGGCACTGATTCCCCCTGGCACTTTCTAATTTCTAACCTAATTTTTTATGAACGTTTTTTTTTCTTCATGCATTAGGATATCGAAACTCGAAGTTAATCGGATAAATCCAAATTCGCAGAAATTTTGCCGGCGACTGTTTTTCGGATTTTTTTTTTTGTACTTTATCTGAAAATACAAAATCCTAAATATCGACGATGGATGAATTATTTCATGCGTACAACTGATCCCACTAGATTGAGAACCGACTTGCGCCACCCAGCTTGATGTTTTTAAATGTAATCCTCCTACACCTGATCATGGCCCCCGAGATTTTTATCGCGTTTGCTGCGCTCCTCAGGCCATTGCATTCGCACGGTAGGAACTGTTACTGCTGGGCGCTTGGTGGCTCTCGCAACCAAACCGAAGAAAGAAATAGCTGCGAATTATCACCATTATCGTCGGTCTACGGAACTTAGGAAGGAACAGCGCGAAATGTGGTCCTCGCCTCTCGGCGCAACACACAAATCTTTGGGAAGGAAGAAGTTTGGT